GGGGGGTGTCAGGGATTGGGGCTGTGAGGTTAAGGTGTGGCCCTAAGGGATTGGGGAGTTAAGAGAGACTTGGCTTCAGGGAGTGAAAGGAAGGGAACAAACCTTCCTGCCTCAGTTTTCCTCTCCTTCCTGGTCTGCTGATTTTGATCTGTGGTAGAAAGGCCCCCAAGAGGGATTTGAGGGGAGAGAGAGAGAGAGAGAGAGAGAAACTCTAGCTGCAGTTGCCTTTGTAAATATGCTGGTGATGTGTTCCCTATTCGACTCTTGCAGAGAAAAGTTAAACTAATGGAATTCGGGAGGAAATAATTTAATGAAAGGGTAAAATGTCAAATAGACCTAAATCTGCTTTGTGATGTCTACAGTGTGAAGCCAAACTTTGAAAAATGTGAAAGTGTGCAAGTAAGGGTGAATGAATGGTTGATGAGGGTATTTTATTTGAGGTGGGGGAAGACTTGCGAGGTTCTTGGGCAGAATTGAACCTGTGAGTTTCCAAGACTGTAACTTTTTACTAAAGTAGAAAGCCTCGTCTTCCTCCTGGCAGAGTAGCTGGTAGTTTGGACTGCTGACCACTACGCTACCTAAATACCCTTAAAAATGATATTTGGAATATAAACCACTTGGACAAATACTGCAAAATGGAAGGTCTCATAAGTCTTCATTTTCAAACAGCATTTTTTTATGAAAAATATGATGTGTTCCTAAGCATAGATGGTATTTTTCACTCATTTATTTTAACTTAGTACAACACAAGCTGAACTTCCTCCTTCTCTACCCCTTTTCCTAGATTGTGAATCATGTTTTATAAACATTTAGTTTTAGATTTGAAGAGTGCTTAAAGATGGAATTTGTTTTCTCCAATTAGGCTTTAGTCTTGGGTTATTTTTATTTTTCTATGTTTTCTTTCTTTTCTTGTTTTAAGTTATTATATGCTTGCTAGCATTACCAAGTTTGGGACTGAGGGTTGGGGATGGGGGCGGCGAAGGGTGTGTAGGGATGCTCCTATCCATCCTTCAAGACTACCACAATTTCCTTGGGAAAATTGGTCCACTTCCCCAGAATGAATTGAACATTACATGTTCTATGAAATAGATTTCATTGGCCTTACCTTTCTCTTGGGCTTCTGAGAGATGTCCTTTACCCTTATACCTAGGGCTTCTTAGTATGCAGTAAGAATTAGGTGTTAACTATTGATATTGCAAGGAGCTCTGGTGGCATTGTCAGATAAGAGTCGGACTGCTAACCTGGGCAGTTCAAACTCATCAGCCGTTCCATGGGAGACAGATTCCAACTTGAGGTGACCCTATAAGATAGAATAGAACTGCCCTTTGGATTTCTGAGGTTGTAAATCTTTACAGGAACAGGAAGCCTTGCATTTTTCCCATAGAGCTACTGGTGGGTGTGAACTGATGACCTTGTGGTTAGAAAACTAATGCATAACCCACCATGCCACCAGGGATACTAATAAATGCCATTAGAAAGACAGTAATACATATTGTGTAACAGAAGAAATTCAGAAGGCTAAAATAATAGTTAAGGTTTAAGCATCATTGTATGGATTATAGAAGAGATATTTATAATAGAAATATGTTTCCACATATTAGACCATAGTTTATTCTAAAAGTTCTGCAAATCTAGGGGAAAACAGCTTTCAAAATAAGGCAAAAGTTTAAAAAAGACTGAGTGCTGGCATGGAAACTAATGAAAAGGCCACATGAAACTTGAAGAGTAACCAATTGCAGAAAGATACAAATAGAGTGCTGCTGGAATTGACGAAGGTGAATCAAATTTGGAAGGCATCTTCTGAAGGCTAATAGAACTAGAGGAAGGTATTACACACAGTCAGTTGTATTCTATTTCTGAAGCTCCAACTAGAGAGGGCTATTTTGTCCTGACCATTTCTACCATCCTTTCTATTTGCCATCTCTCTAATTTCCAGTAGTGTTTTTGATTTAGGCTTTGGCTTACAAAGAATAATCATATTCCTCCTTCTCCATATTAAATGTACTCCTTCATAAATAATTATAGTTGATATTTTAGTCTAAAAATGAGTAAGGATTGGATACTGGTTAATCCAACAAAACAGACCTATCACAACCATTAATAACCTCTTTCTCAACTCACACATATCATAGTTTATCTTTTTCTTAGTTATTGGTATCTTTTTCCCATGTTAGATTATGAATTTTTTAAGTATAAAAGCTGTACTTCATTTTCACACAACTTACAGATACCTTGCTACACCATCTTTTCTACCCATCCTCTAATCTGTCACTCAAAAACTCACAGCTGTTAAGTCGATTCTGACTCACAGTGACCCTATAGTACAAGATAGAACTAACTATCCGTGTGGGTTTCTGAGACTGTAATCCTTTACTGGAGTAAAAAGCCTCATCTGCCCCCTTGCAGAACAGTTGTTTGTTTCAAATTGCTAACCTTGTGGGTTATATGAGTAATATTTCGAACCAAACCCATATATTTCCATACGCCCAACAAGTTGCTTAGCATAGTGCTTCTCAAACTTTAATGTGCACAATAATTACAAGAATGCAGAGTTTTCTGGGCCCTAGTCCCAGAGTTTATGATTCTGTAGATCTGAGATGGGGGCCTGGCGATTTCCATTTCTATTAAGTTCTTTAGTGATGGTGACGTTGCTGGCACATGGATCATACTGAGGGGCACAGATCCACATGGCTTACAAACGAGTTGAGGGGAGAGTGTTAAAACACCAAAAAAGTAGTGCATGTTAAGAAAAGAGAGAGCTTAAGTGTATCAGAGATTATGTCAAGTTTGGGAAGGAGAAAATAAGGAGAAGTGGTTGGATTTGGTGACCAGAAGTTTAGTTTGTCTATTTGGTTTCTGTTTTGTTTTTGACTTTTTTTTTTACTGTAAATTAGGTGAAAGTTTACATAGCAGATCATTAGTTTTACATTCACCAATTCATCTTTGGTTGTTTGCTTTTGGTGTGTGTCAGGTGTAGAAACAAAAGTTGAGCAGTGCATAACTTCCTCTTATTTTGTACTCTTATTCATACAGTTTCAGTAGTTACTCACTGCCGCTGAGTTGATGCCAAGTCATACATAGTAACCCTGCAGGACTGTGCAGAACTGCCCCTGTGTGTTTCCTTGGCTGTAACTCTTTACTCAAGTAGAAAGCCCCATCTTTCACCCTAGGAATGGATGGCTGGTGGTTTGAAATTGTTGACGTTTTGGATCGCAGCCCACCTTGTGACCACTATACCACCAGGGCTCTTCTGTGAGTGGTAGATAGTCAGGTTGGAGGGATTTTAAACATTGGATCTTAAGCTGGCTTGTGTACTGGACTCTCTTAGGGAGTTGCTTTTGCTAACATGTTTGCTTATCAGTTGCTTTCAAGTTGATTCTAACTGATGGGGACCCCATGTTTGTCATGGGAACTGTGGAACTGTGCTCTATGGTTGATTTTCAGTGGTGGCTTTTTCAGAAATAAATTGCCATGTCTTTCCTTCAAGGCACCTTTAGGTGGACTTAGACATTCACCCTTTTGGCTAGTTAATTGTTCATTGTTTGCACCACCTCAAACCACACCGGTTGTCTTGAAATCAATTCCAACTCAGGATGACCTCGTGTGTTACAGAGTACAGCTGTTATATAGGGCTTCCGTGGTTGTAATCTTTATGGGGACAGATTGCCAGGCCTTCTCTTTGTCTTTGGTGGCACCGTGCCGGGTGGGTTCAAACAGTCAACATGTTTGCACCCACTAAGCAATCTGTTAGTAGCAGATTGCAAATCATTTGTGCCACCTAGGGACTCCTATTTATGCTTCCCAAGAAAAAACCAAAACCAAACCACAAACACACCACCAGTTACTATTGAGTCCATTCGGAGTTATGGTGACACCATGAGGTGCAGTTTATAACTGCTTCCCAAAACCAAACTGAACCCACTGCCATTGAGTTGATACTGACTCACAGCAGCATGATGTGACAGTAGAGCCATCTCTTTGAGCTTCTGAGAGCCATCTCTTTGAGCTTCTGAGACTGGAAATCTTTATGGAGGCAGAAAGCCTCATGTTTCTCATGGAATGGCTAGTGGGTTTGAACCAATGACCTGGTTAGCAGTTCAACTTGGAACCCACTACATCACCAAGGGTGCTTCCCCCAAAACCAAACTCCTTGCCATCGAGTCAATTCTGGCTCACAGTGACCTTAGAAGACAGAGAAGAACTCCTTTGGAATTCTGACACTAACTCTTTATGGGAGTAGAAACCCCAGTCATTTTCCCTTGAAGTGGCTAGTATATTTGAACTGCTGACCTTACGTTTAGCAACCCAA